AACAACCCTTCGCTGTATTACATCTGAGCATCCCTCCGCCTGGTCTGAATGTCTTCTGTGGGTGGAGTATGCATATAACACCTTGACCAGCTCAGCAACAGGACTCTCTCCTTTTCAATGTGCCTATGGTTATCAGCCTCCTTTCTTCCCCTCTCTGGAGAGGGAGGTCACCTGCCCCTCTGTTCAGTTCTTTATTTGTCAGTGCAGAAGAACCTAGTCCAGAGCTCGTATTGCACTGCTAAAAGCCAGAGGAAAGTACACCATCTATGCCAATCGCCGCCGGTCTGGTTGCTGTCCGGTTAAGTTTGTCCCGGTCAATGAAAGTCCATCCCAATTTTCATGTGTCCCGGATCAAACCTGTTCTGGTGAGTCCTCTCTCTCCCGTCACACCCCAGCTGCCCCCCCCCTCGCCTAATTGACGGGGGATTGACATACAGGGTCCAACACATTCTCCGCTCCCACCGAACTGGAAGGGGCCTCCAGTATTTAGTGGATTGAGAGGGATACGGCCCAGAGGAGAGGTCATGGGTCCCATCCCGCCACATCTTGGACAAATCCCTGGAGTTCCACCAACTCCATCCAGAGCAACCATCAGGTTCCCATCCGGCACGGTCGAGGCACCCACGACCCTCCCGCCGCTTGGCCAGCTCTGACGGCAACGTGTCTGGGGAGTACTGACCCTACCTCTGAGTGCCCTGGCTGGTCCCCTCTTCTTGTTCTTGGGACGTCAGGAGCCGTCCTTGGGGGTGGGGGTGGGGTGGTGGGGGTTCTGTTTGTGTTTGCTGAATTGTCACAGTAACACGGACTGTATTTGGGTCCAAGCCTGTAATTCCTGACAGCATGTTAATGAAGGAAGGGTGAAATTTGAAAACATGAAAAAAGAAAATGTGGCATATGAAGTTAAAACACACAGAAATTATAATGTCTCTAATAGAAATTCAATGAATCGTTACTTGTGTTGAACAGGAAAAGTAGCACGAGAGCAGCAGCGCTGTTCTATTTTTTAATGCTCACGTCAGACTTCCTTTTTGGTATATTTAGACTCACGTTTCATTTTTCATACTGTTCTGTGTTAACTTTTTTTTTCTTTCTTTTGTAGAAAAGCATTAAAAGGACAGATTTAATATAATCTTTATAATAGCTGGTGTAATTCTGTGGTGGAAACATTGGAGGCTGTGTTTATGCATCAGTTTGTGAGGAGACACAGGGTGTGTATCATTAATAACGACATACTGTCTAATAACGAATACTCTGACCACAGGTATAGTCATTTAATTGATTATTATTTGTAGCCTCAGGATTATACTTTACATGTTTTAATGGTTCAGTTTCCCAGCATCTGTATTTTTGGAGCTGGACAGACCTGTTAACGGGAGGTGTAAGCCGAGGAGTCCTCTGTACAACAGATGACACTTATTTTAGTTATTGAACCATAGAAAACCTTTTAAATTGCCATAAGAGTATCAGAGAGTCGCTCCTGAGGTTTACTGTCTCTACCGGTGCTGACAGTGAAACGACTGCCCATGTGTCATGGTACACTCCTGGATTATGTTCTAGGTGTGTGTTGGTGGTTTTGTGTTCACAGTGTGAGTGTGCATCAGAGTGGAGTCATTCTGTTAAACGTGAGAGCCTGTTAGCGCCTATCTCTCTCATGGGAGAATAGGAGACAGGGATGGAAACAGGGAAATGTTATCAACCAAAAAGCTTTTTTTTTCACCTGGAGAAGCAGAATTATTTTAGGTTTTCTACCATAGCTACAGAATATCAGGATAATCATGGCATATAACTGGAGACAGCAACAAAAAAGTTCATGATAGACTTTGTTTCTTTGGCCACAGATTCTTAGTTTAGATTGTGTGTAAGAAAGGGAGTTAGCTACACATTAGCAGACTTACACAGATGCTTGTTGAATAAAACACATACCATGTGTTGGGCTTAGATTAAGACCTTATATAAAAGCAAGGTAGTCCCAGTTTATCCAAGGAGAATAAACAAATCCACACACAGCAGGAGTCAGTGTTCACTGATGTTGTTGCCTGCTGTGCAGTCCAGCTCTTACTAACATAGAAGTCCACTCAGCCTTGTTATTTATCAACATGCTAGATCTTTTGTATGTATTGGTAATCTTTATTATATATTTCAAAATTAACAAAATGTTTTATTAAAGAACATCACAAACTCTAATGAGACCTTAACTTGTTCAGGAAAATGTTTTTTTATATTTTATAATTTGAAAGAACTACTACTTGAGTTTCCACATGGGCAAAGGGAAAGCCTTTTTTATTTACAAATTAGTCAAGTAATAGAGAATGTCTTTTGTTATTTCTGTGAAAAACCTGTTAGTTTTAGTGCTTTTACTTTTGCTTTCACAGCCTGTGGTTGTTGTGGCTCCTGTGCTGTGACTTTCACAGTGCAGTACCTGTGTTTATAGTACATCAGATAATTTAGAACCAAAACATGTTTTCCCTGTTTTCTTTCCTTTCTGTTTTTATAATGCAGCTTTCTCAACCTTGTAACATGCTTATTTAGCACTGTACTACCCTTGGTTGGCCACAGGGTGGAAAAGGCCTCACTACTCTTGGCCTTGAGTGTGTGTTCGATTCCCTCATGTTTGACTGATAATCTTTCTGTATCAGTTTTTTTTATGTGTCTCCTCTAGTTTTGTGGCACAGACCATAGATATGCAGCACGCAGTTAATAGGACTCTCGATCTCTATGATACATAGATATCCATCCATTTTCATCCGCTTATCCGTTACCGGGTTGTGGGGGGATCCGTCTCCACGACCGCCACCCACACTGCACCGCACAAGTCCCTTGTCAACCTTCCTTCCGGTGGTGAGCCCACTGGAAAGTGCCACCGCCCTAACCTGGATTCAATCTTGCCCAGGAGGTGAACCCTGGGGTTCCACACCAATAACGGAGACATTGCCTCTGGTCCAAAGCGCCACAGAGATATCATCATTAGATTAAAATTGATTAGATTAGATCATCCAGATTAGATTAGCCAAATTACATAACACATTGACACACGTTCATTTTGACAGCCCTACATGTAACATCTCTGGACATCAGAGAACCCAACAGTACTGCACACTTCTACATCTTCTCCTGCACCATCTGCTGACACAATTTTGCATGGTATTGTCCCCACACACTGCGCCCCGCGTGCTCAAAAAGCTGCCCGGGTTAAACGCAGAGGTCACATTTCGTTGTGTGCAGTGATGTGTGTCACAATGTCACAATGACAAGGAGTTCACTTTCCTTTCTTATCTGTAGAACAGCATGCTGTAGATGACCTTTTCCAACTGGCAGTAAAAGGAGTGGACATTGACGGACAGGTGTTGGCTTACCTGGAGCTTGCACAGGTCTGGTCCTGCAAAACATTGTCAGGTGTCATTTTTCCAACAACTAAACAACCTAATTTTCAAAACTGTAACAGCATCTTTTTTTCTCCTGTTTTCACAATGCTAAACAGCTTTCAGGTTGGTCTCTGCATCACATCTGCACCAATTATAACAGCATATGCCGCAAGTTTCCCAAAGACATGAAGGCCATGTCTCCAGGTAAAATAAATGTCTCATTTTATCACCTCTATCTAAACTAATTCCTGCTATTCCCCCTCAAGAACAAACCGTCTTGATAAACAGATATAAAAGCTCTGACGTCCACATTTGTCTCTGTCCTGCTCTCTGCAGACAACCAGAGGCACTTTGAAAAGCAGCGCTGGCCTCCAGTGTGGTTCCTGAAGGAGGAGGACCGATACCTTCGCTCTCAGAAGGAGCGCGAACAAGAGGAGGAGACCTTGCGCAAGCAGCACACCAAACGGGGTTGGTGTTTCTGGAGACACCTGTCCTCCTCCCCACATGTAAAAAAGAGGTGTTCTCTGCTGACGCTCATATCCCCAGGAAAACCAGCCCTGCTGTGCAGCTGCATACAAAGGAGAATCCTCCACCACAGAAATAAAACCACTTTCTGTGCTTCTTCTGCCTGAATGTCTGGGTGTCTGTATGTATGTGCCTCTTAATAATGCTGGTCCACTTCCTGAGTGTGTCTGCGTTTGCCTGTGTTAGAGGCATGGGTTTAACATCTTATTTGTGACTGTTTGACTGATGCTTCTGAGTTTAGTGCTTCCCAGATCTTCGCCCTATGATCTGTGAGGGTATGTGTCATTGCAATGCAGCCCCCCAGTCCGAAAACGAAAGCTCTGTCTCTTCACCAGCACTCGCAGCACCCCAGCCTATGAGTGTTTGGACTGGGAGCAAGGGCTCTCTATCTCTCTGTCTCCACCCTTCACATTGACCTTAATGGCTAATACATGCTCCTCTAAGAAGGAGGCCCTACCTCTGCCTTCACTTTTACACAGACTGTTAGACTAACTCTTATGTAACTCTTACGTAAGTCCAACCTCTCTTTAAACCAGCTCTGGACTTCCAGGAGTTTTCCTTTATCTTATATTATTCTTCTTCTTATTATTGTTTTTGGCACCATCTATGATCGGGGGAAATGGTGCACACTGCTCCTAGTACAAGCTGTCGCTGTCAGCTACTGAAATAGGCCTCACGTATAATCTCACGTGGCCCAAGTGAGAATTAAACTGATTTCACTCTGAAATAGAGTCGGGGTGAAGTATAAGTGCTTGCTGATAGCATTAGCTACAGTGCATGATTGGGATACAGTACATCTATGGATATTTAAACCAATGGAAATGCATTAATAATAATGAGTGAAAATTTCAGTGTTGGTCAGAATGTTTTGATGTTGGATGTCTTTTATTAAGTTTTTGTATAATTAACAGTGTGTTGCTCTGTACCTTCAAATCACTGATTTTTTTAAGAACATTTTTCTAAATAAGCACTGGTTGGCCTGTGCACTCTGAGGGTGCAGCCTCTTTTCTGGAATGTGGTTAATTTGCATGGTGGCCTATCTTTACATTATTGGCGCTTATTGTCGGAATGCACTTTTAAATGTGTAATTTTTTGTATTTTTATCTATACCTTATTGTGCAAAGAATGAATTCCCCCCTGCCCCACCCCCACTCCCTGAGGTGTGATTGTTTTCTTAATTGAATGATTGTACTGTAGCACAATGTTGATTCTGAAAGTCTGAAAATTCACCAAAATTTGTTGAGGGTGGAGTCTAAATAAAGGGGCTTTATGCAGAAGCATAGATTAGATATAACTAACGGACACTGCTATACAATTTTGCAAATGTAAAACATTAGAAATAGCTTTATTGATTGTAAAGTTTCTTTTTTTATTAGAAGACATCTAGTCTAAGGACATCTGAGGAAAATTAGGCTTACTTTTAACTGTATAAATCAGGATTGCAACTCTCTCATTCATTAGTTTAAAGCGAGTGTTGGAAAAGTTCTTAAATCAGGAAAAAGGCAATAAACCATGATAGGGGTTGAACACTGAATTATTTGTCATATAGGCATTTTATGTGAAATTCTTGTTGCAAAATGATCATGGATTTTTGTTTCTATTCATGGATTGCCATTTTTTATCTGCAGTCAATGTGCATTGGAGCTCAGCTCATCGTAGAATCACTAAAATCACGGCATATGCCTGAAAAGAAAGTTCTCTCCAGTTTATGGTAAATACTTTAAGCAATCAGTTTTTAATACTTAAAATACCGAAGAACCAACTTCAATCACCACAAATTGTGTAAATACCTGAGTTTCCCCTCTTCACCTGGCAGAAAGACTGCATTTATTTAAGACACCACTCGTTGCTATGACACTCCATTTTATTATTGTTTACTGTATGTGTAGGTGACATTTTTGCCGCCCTGCCGTGTTTGTCACATACTGCCGAGGACCATGTTATTTTGCCGTTGTTTGAAAGGAAAGTCTCTCTTTCAGCATCAGGGATTTCTTCTTCTTCTGAAGATGATTCATCATGCTCTGGGTTGTATTCCTCCCCATCTTCTTCTTCTGAATCAGAGTTGTCTTGTTGGACATCTGAAAAAATCAGCTCTAGAGCCTGTTCAATGTTATAACACGCACTCATCAATCAATCAATCAAATTTATCAATCAAATCAAATTTTATTTATATAGCCCACATTTACAAAATACAGTTTGTCACATGGGGCTTCACAGGGTTGGTAACATCCTCTGTCCTTAGACCGTCAGCCAGGGTAAGGAAAAACTACCGAAAGAGAAACCCTTTCAACAGGGAGAAAAGAGAAAGGTAGAAACCTTAGGGAGAACCACAGGTGACGGATCCACTCCCTGGACGGACAGACGTGCAATAGATGTTATCAGAACATACATTGTACAAATACATAAAAACCAATGAAGAAAAAAAAGTCGTGGTAGTGGCAGTAGTCCTGTGCTCCTCCTGTTCACCGGTGGCAGCAGAACTGTAAAAGAGTGGGACCAGTTTCCTAAGTGTATACATGGTGGTCGGTATGAATATAGGACAGGACAGAAGAATAAAGTAAGACCGTAGAGTCTGTGTCCTCATTATAAGTGCAAGATGAAGTGAAATGAAATGAAATGCAATGCCCCCCAGCAGTCTAGGCCTATAGCAGCATCTTTTTAGACTGTTCTAGTCGGGGCATGTTTAATCTAATTTAGGCTATAGGCTATACTATACAAATGGGTTTTGAGTCTCACTTTAAAGGACGAGACAGAATCTGACTCTCTTACTGAGAGTGGGAGCTGGTTCCACAGGAGAGGAGCCTGGTAACTAAAAGTTCTACCACCCGTTCTATTTTTATTTATTTTAGGGATGACCAATAGATTCGAATTTTGGGAGCGCAGTGATCTATTTGGTTTGTATGGGGTAATTAAATCACAAATGTATAATGGGGCTTGATTATTTAGGGCCTTGTATGTGATTAAAAGTATTTTAAAGTCTATTCTACTTTTTACTGGGAGCCAGTGTATTGAAGCCAAGACGGGGGTTATATGTTCTCGTCTTCTAGTTCCGGTCAGTATGCGTGCTGCCGCATTCTGGACCAGTTGAAGGCTTCTTAAGGACTTATTGGGACATCCTGATAGTAGCGAATTGCAATAATCCAGCCTGGAGGTTATAAAGGCATGGATTAGTTTTTCAGAATCTGGTCGTGATAACATTTTTCTAATGGATTTAATGTTACGTAGGTGGTAGAAGGCTGTTCTACAGGTTTGGTTAATATGTTTTTGTAGTGATAAATCCTGATCAAACAGGACACCCAGGTTCCTTGCTTTACCACAGGGGACTGGGGTAGAACTACCTATGGTTATAGTTAGATTTGACAATGGTGCTCTTATATGTTTAGGCCCTAAAACTATGACCTCAGTTTTTTCTGTGTTAAGCATTAGAAAATTCTGGGTCATCCATGTCAGAATGTCTCTAAGACAATCTTGGATTTTAATTAAGGGGTTTGGGTCATCTGGCCGTACCGATACATACAATTGGGTGTCATCTGCATAGCAATGAAAGTTTATGTTGTGCTTCCTGATGATGTTGCCTAGTGGCAGCATGTACAAAGTGAAAAGAATTGGGCCAAGCACGGAACCCTGAGGAACTCCATAGTTCACTTTAGTGAGTATGGAGGATTCCTCATTTACGTTAACAAATTGAAACCTGTTCGACAAATAGGATTTGAACCAGGCAAGTGCTGATCCTTTAATCCCGACATCTTTTTCCAGCCTATGTAACAGGATCTCACGGTCAATTGTGTCGAACGCTGCGCTGAGATCCAGAAGGACCAGGATAGACGCCAGTCCCTTATCAGAGGCCACGAGAACATCATTTTGTACTCTCAATAGTGCAGTCTCTGTGCTATGATGGGTTCTAAACCCAGATTGAAATTTTTCAAATAGATTATTGTCATGCAGATGATCACACAATTGGGAAGCGACAGCTTTTTCTAAGATTTTAGAAATAAAAGGTAAATTTGAAATGGGCCTATAATTAGCTAGAGTGCCAGCGTCCAGAGAAGGCTTTTTAAGTAATGGTTTAATTACTGCTATTTTGAATGCCTCTGGGACACAGCCACTCAGTAGGGACATATTTATTTGTTGTAATATTATGTGACCTATTTGGGGAAGGGACTCTTTAACTAGTCTAGCTGGTATAGGATCCAGCTGACAGGTGGTTGATTTAGCAGCGGAGACCAGAGACCTTAGCTCGGGGAGATTTAAAGGGTTAAATTCATTTAATTGTAAGATTGGAGTCACCATTGTGTCTAGGTTATTCATGCTAAACTGCATTTTGGTCATGTGTGGAGGAAGGAGGTGATTAATTTTATCTCTGATTTTATCTATTTTGTCATTAAAAAATGTTAAAAAGTCGTTACTACGCAGAGATAGAGGTATTTTTGGGTTGATTACATTTTGGCTCTCTGTCAGCCTGGCTACAGTGCTGAAAAGGAACCTGGGATTGCTCTTATTTTTGTCTATTAACTCTGAGTAATAAGTTGTTTTTGCATGTTTCAGAGCTCTTTTGTAATTATCAAAGCTGTTCCTCCACAGGACATAGTGACTGTCGTTATGTGTGGAACGCCATGCTCTTTCTAATCTCCTTGTTTCTAATTTTAAGGCGCGAGTTTGGGTATTAAACCATGGGGCGGATTTATTTTGAGACATAATTCTCTTTTTTAGGGGGGCTACATTGTCTATGACAGTTTTTAAAGTTAAGTTTGTTTTATTTACTATATCATTAAATTTTGTGGGGGATATTGTCATGTAATTTTCTAAATCTGAATCTGTGTAACAGAAACTTGACTGAAGGGCAGAAGAGAGCTGTTCGTGGAACTGTTGCACGGAGCTCTCAGATAAACAGCAACTATAATAATGGTGCTGTCTAGAATTATGGCTCATATAAACTCATGGCTTCAGCACAGAGAGAATTCAGGGTACTGTCATCTGCAGCACCTTTATAGCCTCTGGGAGTGCACACTGACAAAGGGGCAATATTGTTATATTTTTGCGTCAGATCGGGTCACAGGCAGTGCAGTCCGCGAGAAGACCTGTCTTGTCTTGTTTACGTCTGCTACTGATTGATCTGAGACAGAACTAAAACATTCTCACATTCTGTGGTGTGTAACTAACTCTGTGACTGTGATTTCAACTCAATTTGACTGTCGGGTCATTTTGACCCGAAAACAATATTTGTACCTTTTTTTGTACAGTTTACATGGAAATATAAATATATATATAAATAATGCAACACTTCACTGTGCGGGTCAATCTAGGAATGCCATCCAATTTCAAGTTGAAAAAATATCATTTAGGGGATTTTTATTTGTTTTTTAACACAGGTCTTTTTGACCCGAGGACAACAGGAGGGTTATTGAAATCAGAAATTGTAATACTTTTAATGATTGTCTCCAAAAAGTTGAAGATGATTGTGGTTTTTTTTTGCATGAAAAGACAAAGAAGTGTGGTCAAAGCATGGTGCATTTTAAAGTATTCAAAAAGCTTAGTTCCTATCTTCATATGATCACAGGACTGTGATGGA